AGCCTATTATCTATCTGTGTATTGCTGAATCTTTTTACCCCTGAGCTTGATCTTGAGCTGTACTCCTGTACTTACTAAGGTCACAAAGTTTTCCTTCCTTCCAGCTGTGTAGTTCTACACTGCCCAAAAGTGTCATAGCTTTCTAATCTATCTACAGCTGCTGGTTGAGTTGTCCCTATTTCTCTCTGGTTTCCTGTCACATATAGCATTGCTTTCTCATCTTTGACTCTCAGTTTATTAACCCTCTTTCAGGTTGAGTGTATCTCCTATTTAGAGCATCTCGATGGAACCTGCCTCCTAATCTACTCTGCTTGTTTCTTTTTTTTTTTAGTGTATTAAGGCTATCTATATTAAAGATTATAGCTTACCATCTCTTCTCCATCTCTGCTATTCTATTCTGCTACCATTTGTCTACTTTACTCCTTCATTCCACTGTCTGCCCCGTTCATTGAGGCCTTTCTGCCACTGTTGCTGGAATCCTGGTAGTTTTTCCTCTCTCTCTCTGGAATGTCTTTCAGTATTTTTTGTAGGGTTGGGTTGGTGACCATGAACTCCCACTAGAGTTTGGCAGCTGGAGATTTTTAAAAATTTCTATCTCTTGTAATGTTTCCACAGTTCCTCTTTGTCTTGGAAACACCTTATTTCTCCATTAATTTTGAGAGAGAGTTTTTCTGGGTGCATCAGTCTTGGTTGCAGATTATTTTCTTTCAGGGCTTGGACTATTTCCCCCCAGGCTCTTCTCGATTTGAGAGTTTGTGTTGATAAATCTGTTGTTATTTTGATAATTTTTCCATTGTAGGCAATCTGCTTCTTTTCCCTGGCTGCTTTTAATATTCTGTTCTTTTCGTGGATTTCTGGAATCTTGATTATTATATGTCTTGGTGTAGATCTGTTTTGGTGGTAGGTGGCTGGAGTTCAGTATGCCTCATTTATCTGGATATCTTTTCTTTTTCCTATGCTTGGGAAGTTTTCCTTAATTATATCCATGAATAGTCTTTGTAGCTCATTTTTGGTTACTCCTGCTTCTTCACTCATGTGTTTTATTCTTAAGTTGTAGATCCTTTTGTCGTCTTCTAGCCTTTGAATTGTTTCTTTCTGGTTCCTTGTTATTTTTAAGAGATCTTTTCTTTCACAATCATATATCATAATCTCTCTTCAAGTTTCAAAAGGATAATTTTAGTTGCTGTTAAGGCATTTTGCCAGTTTTCAATGGAATTCTTAGTTTCCTGGTAATCTCTTTGGATCTGTTTCATATATTCTAGATTTTGTTTATATTCTTCATCAAAGGTTTCTCTTTCTTTTCTGAGTTCCTCTATTCTTCCATCTGTGTTCTCTTGGGAGGGGCTTATCATTTCTTTAATTAATCTTTTTATATCTTGCCTCACTTAGATCAGAAGTACAGTTTTAAATTCGTCTATGAGGTCATGAAGGTATTTCTTCATATCGGCTGATGCTGTGTCTAATATTGCATGGTTACTGTGATGGTTCTCTTCTGTGTTTACTTCTCCTGGGCTTATTTTCCCAGGTTTGGCAGCTGGAGATTTTTTTTTATTTCTATCTCTTGTCATGTTTCTGGTTTCTTACAGACTGGTGTGTCCTGGGGGTCTCTGGCCCTCTCTGTATTGCTTAGGGTCTTTCCAAAGCCTGCTAACTGGGGTTTTGCTGGCCTCCCCAATTTGCTGTTATCTGAAGTACACACAGGGATGCAGGGACGGTGCAGGCTAGCCTCAAGCCTCTGAGCCAGTCAATCCGCAAGTTAGGCTGAACCTTGTGGAAGTCACAGTCATGACAATTTCGTACTTGTTTATTGGGTCCCAGCCAGAGGTGTAGCTCAGCCCCAGAAGATCCCGCCAGTTATCTCTGTGCTAGGGGCGAATGACTGGTGCCACTGTGGCGCCAGGCTCTGCCCAAGTCCAAGATGTCCTCCAGCCAGCAACAGCAGCCGTGGGACCCAATCCCTAGCAATCACCAGGAATTAATGTAGTTCTTCCTCTTGGGTCCACTGTGCCATGTGTCTTCACTACGCTCCCAGCACAGCACAGATTGGTCAGAAAACTGGGCAGTGCCAGGCTTCGGCTGATGAATTTTTTTGATGCCAATTTTTATCGAAAGTGATTTGACAGCACATTCTCCCAGTCTATGTCTTGTCTTTTTCTTCTCTGAAGCAGAGGCAGAGTTTTTGGAAGCCCAGTACGTAGGATTTTCCCCACGACAGAGGGTTAGGGTTAGGGTTCCAGCAAGGTCATAAGGATGGGGCTGCCTGAGCCTGTTGGAGCTCACATCTCACCAACGTTGCCGTGGATGGCCAGCATGGGGCTGCAGGATTGAGTGTTTAACCTCCTGGTTTCAGGTCTTAGTTGACCCTATTCTGTTTTATCTTCCTATTCCTTCTTTTTGGAATGGAACCCTTTACCCTGTGCTTTGTATATTGAAAGTGTTTAACTTTCTTTTTGATTTTTACAAGGCTTCACAGCTATAAGTTTGCCTTGAGTCTCAGAGGAGACTTTGGACTTGGAATTTCCAGTAATGCCAAAATTGTTAAAATATTAATGACTCTTAGAGCTGTAAAAAAAATACATCATGAGATACACGTGAGCCTTTTGTGGGCCAGGTGTAAAATGTTATGGTTTAGATCTAAAAGGTTCTCTAAAGGTCTTGTGTTCAGAGATGGGACTTTTAAAAGATGACCATGACAACTTGTATCTAGATGTCCCCAAAAGCTTAGTGTACCCATAGGTAGGGATTTTTTGAGATGGCTGGCTCTAAGGGCGTGTTATACTAGATCAAGTGTGTGTGGTACTAAATTAGTCCACCAATTGGTTTAGCATAATTCTGCGTGAGGATGATGGGAAAGCCCACCCTTAGTGTGGCTGGCACCACCAAGAGTGCTTAGAATCTGGATGGGAAGGGAGGACTGCTGATCACTGCCTTCTGCCTGCCACACCATGAACTGCTTCTTCCCTGCAATGCCACTCTGCCCTGCTGCCCTGCTGTGGAACCAGCTGAATATGACCAAAACGTCTACAAACTGTAAGTTGAAACAAACTTTTCCTCCTTTGAGTTGTAAGTATTTTGTCCCAGCAACAAGAAAAGAAAAGAAAAGAAAAGAAAAGAAAAGAGAACAACTGAATCATGGAGGTTTTACACTCATCAGTGGATTGATCCATTGATGAGTTTGTAGCTAAATGTGTTAGGAGGGGGCCTCACTGGCAGACGTGTGTCACTGTGGCATGACTTTGGAGGGTGTATATTCTTCTTGATCTTCCTTCTGTGTCTGCTTCTTGGCTGTCATGAGGTGAGATGCTTTTCTTTTTTTTTTTTTTTGTCTTTTTCATTTTTATCAGTACCAGGGATCGAACTCACGACCGCCTGCTTGCAAGGCAGGTGCTTATGCCGCTGGGCTAAACCCCCAGCCCCGAGAGGCTTTTCTCCACTATGCCCTGCTACCGTTTTTTGCTTTGCAGGCAGCCAACCATGGACTGATCCTTCAGCCATGATCCCAATTAAACATCTCCTCTTTTAAGTCACATGTGGATATCTGAAACTGAACTAATATACATCCATATCTTGAACATCTGATTTAGTTAGTTAAATGCAATGGACCTGGTCAAATAAATACTTTTAAAAATAATGAGAATGTTCCTCATTATAATCATCAAAGATTAATCCATTCCTTCATACTGTTAAAATAGTAGAAATCCTCTTAGAATACAAAAACTAAGTACATTTCACTAAAAACATTCAACCTGAGCTAAAATTATAATTTCAATATCTCGATAAGATGGTAGAAAGCTAAATCTTTATAAAACTTGCTTTAGTAGGATTATATTACAAAGTAGAATTATTTCTCCTCTGGTACTTGACAAATTGAAAAATCCATATTCACATTGCTTTCTGTGTTGCTTCCTCATAACAATCAGTACAGAGAATCCTCCAAAGTAGTAAATCAATCAAATTGACAATAGCATCAAATTTCTATATGAGCTCCAACGTGCCTGATTGTCTCTGAAAACCTCCGACAGCTTGGCTGGTTTCACTTTCAACCCCCATATGCTTGCTCTCTTCCTGGAAAGAATCTTGGCTTCTTCAAATAACTGTTTGTGGGAAACATTCTCCTTAACTACAGTTTTGCAAAGATTCGATTTTCTTATGTTAACTGAACAACTTAATAAATTCTACAGTTTTATATGATGATTAAAATCAATTTTATTTCTTATTCTACAATTGCAATATTAAAGAGTGATTCTTAATAAACTTTTATATGTCCTGGAAAATCGACCAGGAAACCTGCCTCTATTAATTATTCACTGTATGATCTTCAGGAAGTTAAACTCTCTGTGATTAAGTTTCTGTGTTTGGAAAAAAAGGGGCTTAAATAAGTTAATAAATACCATTGGGGGACAGTTGTCCAAGATCTCTCCCATGTCTGTACAACCTGTGAGAAAAGACACGGAATGATCTTTATTTTAAGCAGTCACTTCAATTATATTTTATAGGGAATAGCCTCGGAAAATTGAGGCATTGTTTCTGGAGCAAAGGGCAGGCTTATCATTAATTATTGATAGTTTGGACCCTCTAGGCTCATGGGTCCCCTCCTGAAACACAGCGCACTAAATGTATAATCTTCCATCTGGGCCGGATATGACATCTCAATGGCATCAGGAAGCATGCGGAACTATATGAACACAGATATTATTAATGTTCACCACCATCACTATTATCTATCTAGCTTTAAAAATTTGCCTTTCCAATTATACTTCTAGAAATTTATCTACTTCAAAATTATAAGGATTGTGGAAAAGAATGGATATTAAATGCATAACAAATGCATTTAATGCAAATAAACACATAACAAATGCATATAACAAAAATTGGGGTCAATTTAAATGACTATTCTATAAATCTATTGCTATGATAACCTTGCCCAATAAAACCACTTTGTTATGTCTTGAATATGTTTTTCGTTTTTTTAGTTTTTGTTTTTGGTATCAGGATCAAACTTGTGACTCCATGTTGGCCAGGCGGGTGCTTATGCTGCTGAGCTAAATCCCTGGCTATGTCTTGCATCTTGATGTCCCCCGAAGCCTCCCATAGTCATAGGAGGGGCTTTTCAGAGGTGGCTGGTGTAGGGTGTGTGCTGATGGGACCGAGGATGTGATGCTGGCCTTGATTCACGGTGTGACACTAAGATTAAAGCTGTACCCCATGAGTGTGAGTGCTCCCCGCCCTAAGGGTGGGCAATCTGGATAAGATATGAGGGGCAGAAAGAGGGTCACTGCTTGTCACTTGTAGTTTGCTGCTTGCAGCCTTCTGTCTGCCATGAACTGTTTCTCCTCTGTGATGCCCTCTGCCATGCCACCCTGTCTTGGAGACTGTCAACTATGAGCCGAAACCTCTGTCAACTGTGAACTCAATAAATCTTTCCTCCTTTAATGTTGGGTGTTGGGTATGTTGTCTTGGCAATGAGAAAAACAACTAAGAGACACTTTCAAACACAGCATCATATGCAAATGAGCACTATTCTCCTAATTGTTTACAAGTTGGCAGGGCCATCTCCATTCCATAGGTTCTTTTCTACGTGCAAGGAAAAGGGGGCAGTGACCACCTGCACCACCCTTTTCTTGGCAGTGACAGACGATCAAGAGGACAAACATGGCTCTTCAAGTACATTTCAAATCTCCATGTCACATGTAATATCCCAATTCCTGAAATAAAGGAAGCACAGGAAATCGCATTGAGACCACTATGAAGTCATGGCAATGCCACTGGATACACTGTGGGAGTGAAGAATTGGAATAAATGACCCAGTGTACCACAATTATCAGTAGGAAACAGGTTAAGTAATTTTAATACATTTCTACTAAGCAGCCAAGAAAGAGAACAAACATATGTGAATGCAATATAATGGGACATATTCATAATATACCGCTGCATAAAACCAAGTAGTAGCATAATATAACCCTTTTTAAAAAAAGTATTTGAATGCATGCATTTATTTTACGTGCATGGTAAATAGATACATAGAGTACTAATAGCATTTATCTCAGGATTGGAGTTGGAAGAGGAATAACTTCTGCCTCCTATACTCTTATGTACTTTTGCATCATGGAAAAATTTTATAGCAATGTATTAGTTTGTAATTTAAAAAGCAATAAAAATAGAACAAACAAATATTAAGAGAATGACAACATTTTATGTACCTATAGCTGATGATTCAGTTCTTGTGCCCTCTTCCAGGCACACACAGGAAAAAAACCCAAATATAATAATAGAGATTTGAGGTCAGAGATCCTGCCCCTTTAAAACTCCATTCTGATTCAGAAATAAAAATTTGTTTCATTCCCCATAACTACCTCACTTAGAATGTTTGAATTCATATTAACTTTATTAAGTACATCGGTAGAGCAAAGTATTCCTGAGAGTATTTGAGGATTTTTTTGAGTTGTTTTTTGAAATTCATTTCAGACATACTATTTTTTCCCTTAAAATTTCCATTTAAAGATTTTAATGTTTCTACTTCTCAATGAACTTCCGTCTCTCTGTTTCAGAGGTGTTTAAATTTCCTTAATGAAGTATGTTTCTAATGACCACTTTCAAGTCTTCGGGTGGTATTTCCAAGATTTGGATTAGGTGTTGGTAAACCTGCAAGACAACTTTAACCTTCTGTTGTTTTTGTATAGCTCATGAGCAAAGAGTTGTGTTGTTTCCACAGTTATAGTACTTGTGAAAAGTCAAAATAAATAATACTTTGTGACACATAAAAGTTAAATTAAATTCAAATTTTGGTTTCCTAAATGAGATTTTACTGAAGCATGGCCATGATTACTTACTTACATATTGTTTGTGATATTTTTGTACTATGATGACAGGGTTGAGTCTTTGTGACAGAGACCATATGTCCCACATACTCTAAAATATTCCTCCCATCTGCCTGTTTACAGAAAAATGTTGCTCCTGATCTGGGTTATCTCAGACTTCACATCTGTTGATTGTCTTTTGCCTTCTTAAGAATTGAGTATGTTGCTTCCGGGAGAACATGGCGGACAGATAACAGCAACTACCGGAGGCTCTCTGAAAGACTCGGCTCAGAAACCAGGAATGGTGCGGACTAAGGAGACATAAGTCGGTGGAGATATGCTCTGCTGACTCAGGAACGAACTGGGCTGAGAGAAACCAACTTGGAATGCAGTCCTGGTGCTAAAACAGGAACAGAAAAGACTCGGTGTGGAGGCTGGAACCGCGCCATTGTAAGCCGCGATTTGGGTTTCCCGCCGCGTGGCGGCTGGCTGCCTCTACAGCGGCTCGGCAAGGAGAGAGACGCGCGGAAGCTCTGAGAACGGGAGTCTGCGAACGGCAGGGAGGTGTGCACTGACTTGTGGTGAGGTGAGTGAGAGAAACTGACACTCTACCACAGTTTGACTCCAGCAGAGGACTTTCTGGGCCCGAGCAGTCCTGCGGGAGCAGGGCGCGGTGGCGACTCCAGTCACACATCCCCCTCTCGGGCGGGATTGGTGAAAAGTGCCTGGCCTGCGTGATGCTGCCGGCGGACCTGGTAGGCTGGCCCAAACCAGATCCCAGAGCCTGACGGTGGCCGGGAGGGGAGACGCGTAGGCTGCCTGGTCCATAACTCCCTGGTGCGCAGCGGTGAGCAGGAACACCTAACTGGCGCAATTCGATCAGGCTGTGGCTGACTGGGAGAGAAGCTGGGCCTCTTATATAAGCTTGCATATATAAGGAACAGAGAAGAAGAGGCAGCATGGGAAGAGGCAGCAACAAGAAAGGCTCCTTGGCCCCCAATTCTGAGAAACAGGCAATAGCAGACACCACACCAATACACATAAGGCACCATATAGAGAGCCTCATAGACCAATTCAGGAATGAAGTTATCAATGACCTGAAGCTAGAAGTATGCAGAATAGTTAGAGAAATGCTAAGTACCACCCAAGAAAAAACAGGTGGTGGAATGGAAGAACAGAAAAAAAGGGGAGAATTGTTTGATGGAGAAAACAGAGAAAGCATAGAATACGTGAAGCAGGTTCAAAGGGACTACCAAGATACTAAGAAGTCTATAGAAGACTGGCATAACAGCTTGAAAGAAACTAAGGACAGACTATCTGAACTGGAGGGCAGACTTGTAATATGGGAGAATGAAATGAAAAACTTCTTAAAAATAACAAAGAAACAAACAGCAATAATACAAAGACAAGAAGATGATAAGAGGATCCATAACTTAAGGATTAAGAACATAAAAGAAGAAGTAGGGACACAAACAAGTGAACTACAAAAGCTACTCACAGAAATAATCCAGGAGAATTTTCCTAATTTAGCAAAAGGTAAAGATACTCAGATGTATGAGGCATACAGGACCCCAGCTACCTACAACCCAAACAGAGCAACACCCAGGCATATAATAATAAAAATTCCAGAAATTCAATACAAGAACAGAATATTAAAAGCTGTAAGAGACAAGAAACAGACCACTTACAAGGGAACACCCATCAGAATTACAGCAGATTTCTCTGCACAAACCATCAAATCACGAAGAGCGTGGGGGGAAATAATTCAAGCATTGAAAGATAATAATCTCCAGCCAAGATTGAGATATCCTGCACAACTGTCCCTGGAAATTGATGGAAAAACAAGGTGCTTCCAGGATAAAGAGGAACTGGGGGAATTTGCAACCACCAATTCAACTCTACAGAGAGTATTGCAGGATATTCTAAAAAAAGAAAAATACAAAGAATCCAGAAATAATGGCAGAGAGGCCACAACGAATGGAGCAGAGAACAAAATGAAGAAGACAAACTGACCTCTACGGACAGAAAAAGAGCTTAACAGAAATGAGGCAGAGAAGATTGGATGATAGGAACAGCTATTTTGGAGAAAATGACATCTTAATAGGTAATACAGATTTAGTATCATCTTGTTTTGAAGTCTCATCTAGCTTTTGTCCTTCTGTCTCCAATGGTCTAAATAGGCTGTATCTTATTGGATTTTATTATGTACGATAGTATAAGCAAAAACCTTTTAAAGACAAGGAGATTATACAGAAACCATTGTTCATTTTGTTAGTCAATTCTAAATACTATGTAATGCTGTCATTCTCTTGAATGGTCTTACATTGTTTTGATATACTTAATGCTACAGTATACGAAGTTGTACTCAAGGATTTCAAAGAAAGAAACAATATGGTAACTACTTTTAGGTTAGGATTATCTGGTGGTGAAACACTATTCTGCTTAAATGGTTATGTTTTGATCTGCACTGTTTCGTTGTTATGCCCTCTTTTATCTCAATCTCCACTCCATTATTTACTTTTTTATCTTTATCCTTTTAATTAAAGGAAAAAAAATAGCAGGATATATTATAGTAACCCACTTTGACTTTTCATTACCTTGATTTAAAGCCCTGTATTACTCTTACCATCTGGTTTTTAACTGATGTTCCCCTATTCTGTTTTGCTGGATAGTATCAGGTTCGAAAGTTTAGGCATCAGCTGTGAAGATAATGAGATTCATTATGACGCCCATTCTTGTTGACTTTTATCTACTTTTGAAGACCTACAATGTCTCCAATGTTTTGGTTTTGTCGGTTTTATTCTTTACTGTTTTGTTCAATTGTATTATAACTAATGATATAGGCAATTCTATTGGAGATAGCGGGAGGCATTATGGTAACCATTGTTGATCACCTTGTATTATGTTTTTACATTATCTATTATGTCCACCCTTTTGACTTGACCGATTCTGTTCTGTTATGTCACATTTGATTTTACTCTCTTCCAAAAAAGTAATAAGAACCGTGGGAGCAATGAAACCCAAAATGTGTAATAGTCATGGTACAAAAGAGAGGAAAAGAAAGTGCTCCAAACTATATAACTGCATGTATATTTAAGTGTATAAGATAGAAAATGATATCACAGAGTTTTATTGGATCAATGAACAGAACTGTTTGCAGTATCATTGATGGAATGTCCACTTTACAAGCTTTAATTTTGTGACTTGAACAATTATTTCTAAGATGACAATATGTAATCCATTAACTAGTGATTTCCTACTGTTCTTTTTTTTTCTGTAAATCTGTATAACTTGTACCCTTTCCCTGCTTTTTTTTTCTTTTCTCCTTAAATAAAATTAAAAAAAAAATATGATAAAAAAAAAAAAAAAAAAAAAAAAGAATTGAGTATGTTTTCCTGATTCTTTGTATACTGAGTAATTCTGGGCATTTTCAATATGTTGAGATTCCATACATGTTCTCTGGAAAGTGTAACAGACAATCAACCCAGACAGATGCACACTTCTCAACTTCCACGGGGAGTGATTCCAGTGTCACTTCTGTTTTCAAACACTTTGCTGCACTCTATGCCTTTATTTCACGTACGCAAGCCTTTGGCTAAGCCTGGGATTCATGTTAGTTCATTCATAAAGTTAGGGGATATCCTCCAGTTTTCTGTTTGATTTTTCCCACCTTCTCCACAACTCCAGAGGTTCCCTCTACCCAGCTGGCTATGTGATAGCTGTCCGTGTTGATGGATGTTATAGTCAACTGGAGTTAACCTTACGTTGACATGAGCAGTTGGGGTGGGGTGAGAGTCATGCCAGTATAACCCATTCCTCAAGTTTCAGCTCCTTGCAACAATCCAGTAGTTATATTTTTCCATAGTTCTCAAGAATTTTATCCAGAGCTTTTATTTGAAAAAGGTTTTCACTACTGCAAATGAAAGGCTGAGGTTTCTAAGGACTACGTATATTCTATACACTGTCTTAATAATCTTTATACCATTATTTGGTAATAATTTTACTTTAAAATCTTGGACTGTTTGAGATTAAAAATGTGCAAAAGGAACACGAAGGTGGATTTACACAGCACAATAATGCTGCTGAACCCTGAGAGTCTTTACTAGAATAAATTAGGTGGATGAATTCCTGACATGATAGCAAGTTAATGAAATCCAAAGTAAAGGGAGGAAATGACTAAAAAGGGAAGGTGGCTGCCATTGTCCATTTCCTATTATCTTGTTTTGAACTCTGCATTGTTTTCATTGTTTTGTTTTGGTTGGTTTTATTCTATCTGGCTTTGTTTGATTTTATTATGTCTGGTGGTATGGGCAGCTATTTTGAAGATAACATGATATATTATGGTAGCTATTGTTGATTTCCTATTATCTTGCTTTAAAGTCCTGTATCATTTTCATTGTTCAGTTTTCATTGTCTTTATTCTGTTTTATTTTGCTTTAAAATAAAAAAAATAGGGCCAGGGATTTAGCTCAGTGGCATAAGTGCCTGCCTGGCAAGCATGAGGTCCTGAGTTTGATCCCTGGTAACAATAACAACAACAACCAAAAAAAAGATAAAAGGATAATAAAATAAAAAGGATGGGGGATACAGCTTCGTGTAAAAATCCTGAATTTTTTAAATTAATATTGGTATGTACTGCTATACTCAATTATACTATGCCTGATGATATTGAAGATTACAAGAGACAACACAGTGACTACTGTAGAACACCTTGTACTGTGGTTTTATATGACTTTTACGTTTCATGTTTTTATAGGAATATGTTTTGTTTTGTCTTGCTTTGTTTTGTTTTTCCCTCTAATATTGAAAGGATAGAAATACATGTAGAGACTCATGCATGTGTAGAATCTATGAATAGTTTATGAGAGCTGATTATATAATACATGATGAAATGAACAACTACTTTGAAGAAAAAGAGACACTACTGTACCCAGTGCTGATCCTGTAGTGTCAGGATGTGAAATCCAGCAATACCATTATTCTCTGTTTAGAGTGATTTAGCCTGTTTTGTTTAATCTTAACATACATGAAGATATAGATAACTGCATGCATGTTTAAGTGTATAGGATTGATAACCATATTACTAAGTTTTTGTTGGGCAATCTTCTATTTGAACGTTCACTTTTATGCTTCACTTTTGTAACTTGAACAACTATTTGTAAGAGGACAATATGTAATTATCAACTAGTGATTTCTTACTTTTTTTTGAAGTTATGTATTATTTCTACCCTTTTTCTGTTTTGTTTTTTCCTTTCTTTAAATAAAAAAATAAAAAATCTCGGGTTCAATCTGTATTACCATAAAACAAACAAAAAGCAAAACAAAACAAACACCACCCATTTGTCCTTGTTTCTTAAGGTTCCAGACTAAAAGATAAGTAGGAAAGAATTTAACTGGGGCAGGAACATGGTTGTTAACAGCCTAGCTTGTGATTTGGGGGATGTCTTTATTTGCAATATAGGTGTGTGAAGTTTAAAATAATCTTAGCTTTTGAAACTCTTTTAATTTTATTGGCTTTATAATAAAAATATATTTTAAACTATTTTTTTTCTTTTATCTTTCTGTCTATAAGCACTGTGATTGGGTAATTAGCTCGATACTTTCTGGCAATGGCAGGATGCTGACCATGGCTAGCTGACCGGCATGATTAATTCACATATATTAATCACATTTTTCTTGTCTCTTCGATAAAGCACTTGGCACATGAGACTTGAAGGAGAAGCTGGTTTGGTTCACAGTTTCAGAGGGTCTAGGCCCTGGCCGGTGGCTCCAAGGCAGACCCAGCACGGTGGGAGGGCCTGATGAAGGGTAGTTGGCCACATCAAGGAGAAAGCAAGAACCAGGGGGAGAGCTATGCCATCCAAATAAATGCCCTTATTTATTTACTTGTTTACTGGTGGAACTCTGGAGCATATGACATCACTGATCACCCACATCCTTTTGGGCACTTTTGCTTCCCCTGACTTTTAGGAGTTTTTTGAATCAAGCATGGACAGACCCACATCTTCAAAACCAAGCTGCAGTTTGGCTCTGCGCTGTACCAGAACTTGACAGAAATCTCCGGGGAAATGGGTGCAACATAAACCAGTGCCCGCCACGTGCAGCTGTTTCTGTAAATAACCAGGATTCATGTGGAGAGCTCCTCTTCTGCCTACCGTCTGCCCCTCTGTGGCAGAGGCCAGATTCCCTTGCCCTTTTGCTGACTCCATTACATCTTTAAAACACAAGCAAACTATTCTCTTCCCACCCCACTTTTGCTTCCCAAGGTGATTGATGCTGAAAACAGCCACGTCCTTCAGAATACCTTGTGTCCCTCTTCAGGGTGACGTCTCAGACCACAGCAGCCAATCTCAGTTTGGGAAGTGCATGCACAGTGGTAGAAGGTTATAGCTATAAATGCTCCACTTCCAAATAGCAGAGATGAATTTTTTAAACACTTCTCAAACTGATGCTGTTATATTTTAAAGAATACCACATGCTAGACAGGCCCTAGGTGAGCTTTGCCATGCCCAACCAGGGTTCACTTCTGACCTGTTCTCTAGTGTGAGGTGAAGAAAACATGTGCTTGTGCTTCCTGTAGTTCTTAGGATGGCAGGGTTTGATCTGAGCTAAAGGACACAGTCATCCCATCATCCCAGCAAACCCGCAATGTCCAGCAGGCACAGGGCACTTGGAATGGACTTGCAGAAAACACTTCTGCAAAGAGGACAGAGACTGAAGGGATTCAGCTATGATTCTAGCATTAAAAAAAGATGCATAAAGCTGGCCGTAGTGGCTCATGCCTGTAATCCCAGCACTCGGGAGGCTGAGGCAGGAGGATTGTTGTGAATTCAAGACCAGCCTGGGCTACAAAGTGAGCTCAAGGCCAGCCTGAACTGCACAGAGAGACCCTGTCTCAAAAAGCCAAAAAAAAAAAAAAAATGCATGACACAAATGCAGTTTAGCTTCTTAGAACTCACATCAGAGACCTGGATGCTCCAGCCACACTGCCTTGTCCAGCACAGCTGTGGTGGACAGTGGCAAGCACAATACCAGTGTCCAGCCTCAAGTATGGACAGTGCCAACTCTCTGCCCTCCTACCTCTCAGGCAAGCCTACTAGGAGTGTACAAGGAAGGGGTCTGGGTGACATCCTGAGGGTCCCCCCAAACCCTGATAACAAAAACTTAGAGAAAAACAGCCCACCTGTAGTTCCTTCATGAGACAATTCTGGGGCACATTCTGCATGGCTCTCCAGAAAGTTCCAAGTGGACCCAAGCTCAAGCTGCCCACAGCTGAATGAGACACTCTTTTTCGGTTGCTCCTCTCAGAGTACCACAGACTGGATAAAGGATAAGAAGAGAGGTTCATTTCAGCTAGCGGTTTTAGTCTGAGGTCAGAAGGCCTCACCTGGGCATGAGGCCTTCTCCCTGACAGAGCCACGAGGTCATGCAGACAGCTGCACGTGGCAAGACACAGTGAGCACGCGTGTGTGTATTCTTGTCTTGGTTACCTTTCTCATTGCTGAGAAAAAATACCTGACACTCATAGTTAAAGGAGGAAAGGATTATTTAGTTTACAGTTTGCCCAAGCAGGCAGGACTTGGATCACATTCAGGAGAAAGATTGCACTTTTTCTCCGATGTCTGAAGTTTTTCAGTAACTCACTGAAATAATTTACGTAGACAATGAAATGTTTGTACCTGTGCTTTAAAGACAGAAGCTTGGTAGCCCTATGAGAATGAACTGGAAAGGGTCAAGGGGAGAAGTGGAGAGACTCGTTAAAAGCTGCAGCTTATCCAAGCTAAACGTACACAGGACATGTAATCCACACTGAAACGTTTGTGTGGGGACGCATTTTCAGAGTCCGCAGAGTACAGTTTGGGGATTTCTCAATCAGGAAATTATTTGGGAGGCAAACAGTGGTGCACAGAGACTCACTGCCTATGGGAATAAAGGGGTGACAAGAATTCAGGATAGCTCTGTAACAGGATAGGATAGGGAATAATTTAAAGGAGACCATAGGAGAAGGACAGGATGATATTTTGGGGTACGTTACTTGTTTCTTTCTTTTTTTTTTTTTTTTTTTTTTGTCTTTTTCCTTTTTATCGGTACCAGGGATCGAACTCACGACTGCCTGCTTGCAAGGCAGGCGCTTATGCCGCTGAGCTAAATCCCCAGCCCCACTTGTTTATTTCTGTGAAACACATTTCCACAAACTCAGCAGCTTGGAACAGCATGTCTGTGTGTCCTAGGGTCTGTGTGGGTTTGCAAGGCATCTGAGCATGGTTTAGCTGGGTCTCCCAAGGCTTCCCTCAAGGAGTGGGCCAAATGGCAGCCTTCTAGGCTGCTGGCAGACAGCGTGTCCTGTGGTTGTAGGATGGAAGCCCCAGCTTCTCGATGGTCCACTGGAGCTGCCTTTGGCAAACTGAGACCCTGCACAGTTCCGAGAGGCTGGTCACAGCTCCTTCCATGGGCACTCCCACCATGACTCCTGACTTTAGGAAACCAGTGAGAAGACTCTGAAGTGTGTTGGCCAGAAAGACAGAGTCTACAGAGTGTAGTGTGAGCCCAACAGCGACACTCCACCACCTCCACTGGCTTCTCCTATACTCCAGGGGTAGTCATCACACAGAGGTGAGGACCCCAGGCAGGGGCCTGCTTAGGGCATGATTGCCACAGGGGGAAAGGATAGGCTCAGTTCAGACATCCTGAATTTCACGTAAGGGAGGTAGAGCTGTCCAATGGGATGTCTGGGTCTAGAACCAGAAGAGGAGTTTAAGGATGGAACCATAAATTCGGAATCTGCACATGGATCCACACACAGTAGCCACACTGGTGGGGCTTGCCCAGGGGACAGAGATGAAAGTACTTTCTCTAACTTTGAGTATGAGGACATTGTTCTGCAACCTTTTTATTTTCATGGTAAAATGAGCCCCCCCCGCTTTGAGATAGTCTCGCTCTGTAGTGCAGGCTGACCTTGAACTACGTAGCCCAGGCTGGCCTCCCTCCATCCCCCTGCCTCCTTGCTGGGGTTCCAGGCCTGTGTCCCCAGCCGCCTGACTAAACCTTCTTCTATTTTTGCCCCATCTATTTCCTTTTACGATCCTTCATTTTGTTTGCTCCCTCTGGACTTGCATTTATTTCTCTACATTACTCTTAAATGAAGGAATTAAAAGTACTGGCAGAGCATTAATAAACTATTAATTAATTTAATTAATTAATTGTTTATTAATCTAATTTCTAATTAATCCCTAGCAAAGCAGAAGTACTTCCAGGGTATTTCTGGATCCAGTTCTGTTCCCTCTCATTAATATCATTTCAAACTATTAAACAATTCATTTCACTTTAAATGACTTTTCACTTACCTTAAACAATACTGCAAGGCAAAAATAATTGAAATAGTCCCACAGTAATTAAAAATGTTAGGACACTTCTCATAGTAATTTAAAAGAGTAACAAGTGAACATGTGGTTATTGACATGTTTAATAAATTAATTTGGGCAATCCAGCTGAAGGGCAATTAATAAAGGAAAAGCAATATTACTAATATGCTCCATCAAGTTAGAGCAGCGTACCTGGTTTCGTCTCTTCGATTGGGGAGCAGAACAGCCAAGAGAATTGTGAGCTGTGTCACCTGTGAATTACATAAATTAGGTAGTAATGTTAGATTGTTCGGTGTCATGGTGAGTGATCAAAAGGGCTGAAGAAGTGCTGGGGATGTAGCTCAGCGGCACAGCCCCCGCCTGGCGAGCACAAGGTCCTGGGTTCGATCTCCTGGTACCAAAAACAGGAAAAAACACTGAAAAAGAAGAGTTGAGGTGAGAATACGGGGCATGGAGTTTCCTGGGATGGGGATAATGAAGTTTCTAAATTGCTTCTGATGATGGGTGCGTAACACTGCCAACATACTAAAGCATGTTGCACACTTTTAATGGTCATTGTATGGAATGTGAATTGCAACTCAATAAAACCATTAAAAGGGGGAAAATGAGACAACATGCTTACCTGCTAACAGCATCTGTTCCAGCTGCGATATTTCTGTTCTATGTGGGGCAAGGCAGAAGGTAGCACGCTTAACAATTCAGAAACCGCTCAGTTGACCTGAAGCTTCTGCTGTCCTGCCACGCCCTGTGATATCACAGAGGAAAAAAAAATCCATCCCTTTCTTTATGGAGCCCTCTGCTGTTTTTGTCTTGCCAAATGCATGTGCGCCAACAACTGTGATGTTCAGAGATAAAAATTTTATTTAAAACTTGAATTTGCATTTTTATTACTAGTTTGCAACAAATGCTGGCTAGTTACTTCCACTCTGGGGAGCTGGCACATGCACATAGTGTGTGTCGGGCATCTTCCACCCCTTTGCCTTCCCTGTAGGCTGCTCTGGACTCCTGATGGCCTCCTGTGTCTCCGAAGAGTCTTACTTTATGGTTGGATGGGGTCGGGAGAAGCACTATCTATCACTGTAGGACTAAACTTGCCTATTTATTATAATAGATAAATTTAGATAATATTTATCTAATCTTTAAACACAGACTGGTTGCATTGGTTATTATCCTTTTGCCTTTCTGGATCTCTTTTCTACCCTTCTCATTCCTGTTCATTAGCCCTCTCACTTCCTGGTTCCTGCAAGAAGCTGACCACTAGGAGCCGCCTCACTTGGCTCTCCTGGGGCTGGTTTTGGAGGCCGCAGACACAAGGAGGAGGAAAGGAGAACCCGGTGCTTCCTCCCACCCTGCACCTCGGTCTGGGCAGTGAGGAGATGCTCCGACTCCCGTCCTGAAGGCTGGAGCTCAGGGTGGTAAGGATGTCACATTCCCCAGTGGTTCACCACATCTTATTAGACTGCTCCTACCTCTGTATCAGCCCCTACTTGACCTTTCTCCTGATCCTGTCTGTATTTAACCCTCTTGCTGGTATCCCAGGTGATTAACCACAGAATAGCTTATATTTGCATATATACACTAAGGAAACTGTCACCCAAACAACTAAATAGCAAATATCACAAAAAGGATGGAGGAGAGTGATCTACACTAATTTCAGGTAGTGATTCTTCCTGAGGGACAGAGGAAAAGCATTAAAGCGGGCATTAGGGCTTTTTTAGTTATATCCAAACTACTTGGGTCTGATAATAATATATAACTTTAGAAAAACAAGATCTAAGATAAACGTGACTAATAGTTAATTATTGTTCAATCCTAGTCATGGGCACATTGATGTTTCTCTTCTGTATTTTTGAAAAATGAAGAAATCAAATAAAATGTACTCTATTTTGGATTGAGTCAAGAACCTATTGTGCCAGTCAGTCATGGTGACACATGTCTGTAATCCTAGCACTTGGGAGGCCAAGACAGTATGATTGCCATGAGTTCAAGATCAGCCTGAATTACATAGTGAGTTCAAATAGTGAGTTAAAGGCCAACTGAATTACATAGTGAGACCTTGTCTCAAATAAATAAATAAATAAATAAATAATAAAATAAGTAAAAAATAAATAAAGGCACAAAATTATCCTGCATGTTTGGTATATAGATGAATGTGAATTTGATATACACACTGAGTCTGTGTCTATATAACCACAGAGGTAAGTGCCTCTTGTTCCCGTAAGATGGCTCAAATTCTCTTTCTAGGCTCCTGGAGAAGTCTGTTAGGTCTGTTGTGCTAACACTTTCAATTTTCCTAGACCTTGCCCTCCAAATTCACACACGTTGGAGCTTTATTCACCCTCTGTGATTCTTGGCCTTGCTGTTTTTGTGGGACAGATTCTCCGTAGGAGAGATTTGCAGAGAAAGATTCCAATCAGCAGGAATCAAACTCACCATGTTATCCCAAGCTTCTGCCGCTGAGACAGTTGGTTCAGAAGCCCGCACCTCACCGGATCAGAACCAGTGCAGTGCAAGAACCCCTTGAGGCTGCTTCCAGAAAAAGAGGTCTTTCCTCTTCCTCTGCACTAAGGAGATAAGTGGTAGAAAGAAGATGGGATCTTTGCCACCATCTTGCTGCCCCAAGAGGAGCTGGCCTGCCGATGGGGCCCCAGGGAGCGGAGCCAGCCAGAGTCCCTGCCTTTTAGTTTGCCCTGAAGTCAAGGTGTGCTGGGCACAGCTTTCTGTCATAGGAGCCCACCATGTAATTTTTACTACACTGACCTTGACAGGCTGGGAGTGTAGCTGGGAGTGTAGCTCGGTGATACAGGACTTGCTTAGGATGTGCAAGGCCCCCCTGGATTAAATTCCCAGCACCACCGAAAATAAATCATAACTAAACTGAGCTTAAAGACCAAATAACACAGAGATACCCAGTGCAGTGCGACGCTGGACAGGTACTCTCGGGCCCACTGGCAGGGCAGATCTGCTGAACTAGATCGTCAGTGCCAGGCAAGAACTACATCTGGCTAATAGTAGCATAAGCACGAACAGTGGTTTACGTGCACAAGAGTTTGTTTCGTCACTTACTGTAGGGCCAGTGTTTGCCAGCTTGGGCTGGTACAGGGGTCCTCCAAAAGCCACCCTGTGCTTCACTATCTTAATTTGTTATAGTAGCAATGGAAAACTAGTATACCAAGCCCAGATGAAATCTGGGTCCCTCACAGGAGATGGGCCTCAGTTTCTGGTGGAGAGGGAGGCCAGCTACTCTTGCCTGAGGACAGACAGTTTACGCGATGACTGCCATGACATTCTTCTAAGCATGAAATTACAGCCATCCAAGAAGAGAGCTACCTTCAATTAAAGCTCTTTAATTTGGGTCTGTAGTTAGCTGGAGGTTCCTGCACTGTCATCCCAATTTTCATAGAAGGGTATTTTTCCTTTTGGATGGCGGGAGTAGAGTGGGGGGAGGGGAGCAAAGACATCTTACATTTGCCAGCACTGTAGTTAACAAAGGGGAAAATGTATTAATTTCCAACCATGAATTAGAGAGTTTTTGTTATATTAGAAAACTCACCACTCAGAGGCTAATTGTGTGGATACAATGGGCACACAAGGGATATTTGGACAATTTTAATCACAATGTAGTTTTTGGAAAATCTTGTACATTGAGTATCTCTCAATGAGCTCCTCATAATCTGAAAACAAGAAGGCCATGAAGTTTTCCCTATTTTTCTTGATAACTCAGTGATAAGGCAAATCACGCTATAACCAAAAGCAAAACATCAAATGCCTGACATAACAAACTGCTCTCATTATCAAAAGCCGCTGCATTGCTCAGAGAAGCATGGCATCTTCCTAAGGGGAGGCAAGGCCATGTGGAAGGGGAGTCTTTCTTTTGTTTCTAAATTTTCATTGCAGGGTTCTCTCGGGCTCATTAGCGAGGCTTCTGCATGCTGCTGAAGGAAATCTCCCTGGCATGGCAACTGTTGCCAGGTAGGGCTTGGCTTCCCAAGGAGCTCCTGGGGAAAGAGGCCGCTCCGAGTCAACAAGCTGGGGAGCCACGCGTGGCCTGTGGGCAGAGCACGTGAGGGCTGGCTCCATGGCTCACCATCCAAAGCGGGCGGGGACTGGAATGGGGCCCAGTGAGCCGGGCTGCGTGTGGGGGCTGAGGGCAATGCTACCTGCAAGTCGGGGTGCTGGTGCTGTGCTCCTTCTGTGGCCCCAGGTTTCATTTTATGCTCTTCCTCCATTATGTGTGAACCATGAGCTTATTTTCATATAAAATATGCTACATTACATGCCAGGAGTGTGTGTGAAGTTGTTCTTTAAAATAAATGTGCCAGGCTGAGCAGGAGGATCGTAGGGAGTTAAAGACCAGCCTGGGCTACTGTCGGTGTCGCTCCCGGCTGGCAGGAAGAACACACGACAAGATCTGTCAGTGGCTGGGCTTTCTTTATTTTCCCTCTCCGTACAGTCTGCCCCGGGATCCTTCCCGGCCGAAGCCTCTACCGGTCTGCTCCCCGCGGCTCCTTTCGTGCTTCTCCCTCTGGCGGGAGAGGCACTCACTTTTATAAGGTTACAGTGGCCAATCAGTTCAAAGCGCGCGATGCGGGCTGATTGGCTAACATCAGTTGTTGCTAGGCAGACTATCTTACAGAGCGGGTTGTTTACCAAGCAGGAAGCAGGAGACAAGCGCCATCTTAGCACACTCGATGGGAGGGGTAATCTAGCTCAGGCTTTGCTCTTTCCTACAGGCCTCACGTCCGCCAAGTAAGGCGACCGGGCTCGGCCGCGGCTCCCAACAGGCTACAAAGTGTGCTCAGTGCCAGCCTGAACTGCACAGAGAGACCCTGGCTCAAAAAAAATGTGCCACAAAATGACCATACGAAGCATTTCAAAGTGTGCAGTTCAGTGGCACTGAGCACTTCCACAGTGGCGTGTGACCAGCACCACTATTCACCTCAAGCTCTGATCTCTCCACACTGAAACTGCACCTGCGCAACAATTCCCCATGTCTGCTTCTCCCCAGATCCAGCAGTGGCCGCTCCACTAGTGCAGGGGTCAAGATGGAGCCTGTGGAAGAGGACTAGGTTATGAGGTCAAAAGTTTATAAAAAAAGACCACAGAAAGTCTGTTGCACTGTGTGAGGTTGCAGCTGGAAGGTACTGTCATGCTGGAGAGCATTGAAGCTGAATACACACGCAGGGCTGTGGCACTGGGATAAATGTCAGTCTACAAATTAGGGTGGAGGCACCAACATTCAAACACAGGTAGAGACTCTAAGTGTAGAGATTTTGACTCAGGTGTGGGGAGAGAGTCCCAAGCACCTATTTGGTTATAAATCACGACACTGATGTATCAAGAAGACTTGCCAATGGTGAGATAAAAAAATATTCAAAGACGATATCAATGGAGGGCTCTCCAGAAACAGCATGGCCTCAGAAACGATTTCTAAGTCCTTTTTGAATGGGTCCAGAGTGTTATCATCTGCAAAGTGATGTGATTCATCTGGAAGACAACAAGTACAAGATGCTTTTGTGATGTCAGATGCTTGTATCGAGATAATGCCATGATATTATCCTTTTGGTATTGTCTACAAGGAGTCATCTGAGCAGCCCAGGTCGGAGGTTAACTGGTTGGAGGGTCCACAACATTGTCCAGAACGGGCATGTTCTAGTGCTAAAAGTGCCCCTGGCAAATGTTCAAACATTTTGTTGACAGAAGAACGCCTCTATCACAAATGCACAGCTTAATAATTGTCAAATGGCTCCATCACACAGCTAGCACTCACTAAGCGAGAGAACATCGCTGGCTTCCAAGAAGTCCCCTCTTGGCTGTTTCAGCCCTGATTTCCTTACCCAAAGCACCCCTAACCTGCCTTCTCAGTGTCACTGATGGGCTTTACTTGGTTCATATTACAACATCTGCTCTTTTCCATCTGTCTTCTTTCAATGTTTCACGACTATAAGAGTTACCTGCACTGTCGTTATTCAGTTAGTCTGTTGCCATTCCTGTTCAGTTACCCATCTGTTGGGTTTTGTTCTTCCTGATAGGAACTTAGCTAACGTGTATAAAAGCAATCCACATGCCAATGTAAATTCATGGGGAAAATCACTTAAAAATATCCGGTACCTTGTAACTGTGATACAAGCATCTGTCCTGCGTCACCTGAGACTCTGATATTATCCACTAGAAGGCAGAGCTCTGAATTGACAGCCTAACAGCTCTGATTCCAGAGGTCCTTTTCTATGTCCAGGTGAATAAATGGCAACTTGGAAGTTTCTCTCAGCATCCTGTGTGTCTGACGTGAAGAGCTTCCTGAGGATTCTGTCATCTCCAGGTGAACTCACCAAAGGGAAGTGTTTGAATATTAAAACAGAGCTAAAACATTCTCAATGAAGCTAGGTCTGAGATTACCGGATGACAGCTGGTTTGAGCTGTACTCACTTGAACTCTATTGATCAGGACCATAAAGGCTGCCTAGTTCAAGTGTCCCTTGAATGTCATCTGTATCTATCATTTCTCAAAGTGTAAATATCCTAAAAAGGAGGCTAGTGGAAAACAGAAGACATGCCAAGCTGGCATGTTGAAGGGAATGTCGTGAAGTCTGCTCCCAGAGGCTTGGGTAGGGCCAAGAGAACCGCAGAGAATGTTGAGGTGCCCAGGCAACATGAGGGGCCGAGGGGAAGGAGTCCTTGGGGTCTGGGGATGGGGGCCAGGAAGTGTGTTGTACATGTCACATGGACAGGGCTTCCAAGACGTGAGGCAGGACAGACGGGTGGAACATGCGTCCCTAGGGTGGCTTGGCATTCTGAGGAAACCAGAGTCAAAGGACACGTTTCATGTGGCGTGGATGAAGAACGACACTGCCTGGATCTCACCCTAGCTTCTAACTTGACAGTGTATTCTCCACGCTTCAGTTCCACTGCAGTCTTCTTGGATGAATTGCTGTGTCACTTCTGTGTGACCTCGAAATAAAGCATAACACGAGCTTCTTGGCACAAGTTTCAGTAATGATACCACTTCTGGGAACGGGGTCCATTCCTTGGCCAAAGGCCCTATACACCCTCAGTCCTCTCCACAAACAGAACCTGGTTCTGGGTTGGGGTTTTAACAGTTAAAGTGCTGAGTTCATCCAATATATTTGCCCATCAACAGGAAAAATACACAAATTACATTATGCATTTTATATTTTTAAGGCATTCGTGATATTCCTTACACACATAACCAGAATATTACTCTCTTCGAGAATCTCTACCCACAGCTGTAAGATGTATTTTGGCTTTTTGTCTCAAGAAATTGTGAAAATACGTACTCAAGCAAGAAGTGGTATGGGGGTTCTCCCCAGGTGAGTATTGTTGAAAATCTTATAAGGGTGGTGTTAGGAAAGATGCTGAAAAGTTGAGAACAATAAGAAAATAAGAAATTAAGAAGACCACTACGCAGAGACAAAAGAGATCCAGACAGATGATTGATGCGAACAAGAATGGGATTAATAGTATGTGTCTTATGGAAATAAAACTTAAAAAGTAATTTGTGTATTAAAAATTTTAAAAATTTGTTTAGTATATGTTGTGGGGAGTTGGTACATGTACATAATACATCTTAATTCTTCTTTTATCAGAAGTACTAATAGTGAAAATTTAAAACATTATCTTATTCTAACCAAAGAGATTCTGGAGAAAACACTGCAGAAGAGCAGAAACTTGGTGGTGGTGGCGTGAGGGTGGGGTAGGCCTGAAAATGACTGCAGGGTGTGTTTGATTTCCTCACCTGTTAAGTTAGAATAAAAGTGGGACTAATTTGTCAAGTGTTATTGAGAAATTCAATCCTCTTTGCTAATAATGCAAGGATAACATTTTAAAAAGTGTCCTTCATTTACTTCTCCTCAGGGATTAGCAGACTGGGGTAGGAAGGAGCACATGCTGTAAAGGGCTAGGCAGCCCAGAGATTCTGCTGCTGGCCGGACTCTCCTGGCCCCACGGAGACAGCAAGAGGAGGCAGAAGGGAAGCCACCTTTCCAGTTATGGCGGCTCATGGCAGAAGATGGCATACAGGGATGGGAGACAGCGCTCAGGAGACAGGCCCTTTCCTGGCTTTGGCCCTCTGATGCGTCAGAGCAGCGGCTCTTGCTCTGACTGATATTGGAAGGCTGGCGAGACTGCCTCTTGTATGCTCTGGCACCACGCTGAAGGCATTTGGCTCAAAGCAAACTCAGAGAGTGCAGCACCATAACGAGGGAAAGAGAAACCCTGAGTTTAACTTTACTGAGCCCAGGCCTGGAATAAAGGGTGCACACAGCTGAAATCCGGGGGAGTCCTTAGCAGGGTGCAGTGATGAGGACCAGTGCAGCCAGGTGACAGGGTGAGAAGACGCTCAGTGAGGACTGACAGCTCCAAGGACGAGTCCCAGCAGCCACGGACACCAACTGGACCCCACTGGCAGGACCTCTGAGCTTGTCTGCAGTCCAGGCAGCCCTGAGGCTATCTCCCAAGAGGCCCGCACCAAGCAGACACGTGGGCATCTGCCAGCAGGAATACAGCAGCCACTCCTGCCACCTCCTTTCCTGTGGGACACTGGCTTTGTGTGGGGAGAAAACGCAGGAGTCCGACATTTGTGCATGAGAAAGCCTGGAAATTAATCTAAAGCGATTCTTTAAACTGTTAGGTAAACTTAATTTTATCCACATGGCTCCTTTTCTTAGTTTAAAAAAATATTTTTGATACCAAGCAAGAAAGATCAAATCAGTGAAAAAAACTCCCAGAAAACAAAAGTCCTAGGTGTACTAAGACTGATGAGACCTTTCCAGTGGATTTACTTACACTACAAACTTCATATTTTTAAAAATTTTATTCATTTATCTATTTACTTGGTACCAGGGATTGAACTACCGACCTCACACTAAACTCCCAGCCTGGTACAAACATTTTAAAATAAATGAGAAAGCTCTTGAAAGAATGAGAAAAGGAAGAAAATGAAACAGAGCTTTGTGAGTGAGGAGGGGAAGGGGGTTTGAAGAAAGGGACAGGAATGGAAAAAAAAAAGAGGACTCAAGATACAACCCGCACAGATACCAATTCCTTATAATGAATGTGGTTAAACCAAAACCAAAACCAAACCAAACCAAGCAACCAAATCAACCAACCAAAAAAGTCTTCAGATGGGGAAACTCACTCTTATACTGCAAAAACATCAAAAGTATAGTAGCCCAAGACCATTTAGCTTAGGGACAAAACTTCTTACACTCACCAGCTCTTAGAGGTTCAAGAGACAACGTGGTAAATGAGTCACAGCCACTCGGAAAATCATGAGTTGATTATGTTGGCATATTTTCTTTAAAAAGGCCAGAAGAGTTGTAATATATTTAAGTGTATTGTGGCATTCCAATGGACATCCTTCGATCATACCTCCGGCTCACACCACTGTGCTTCATTCCCTTACGCTGGTTGGTGAGTGGCTACAGAAATGGATGTGTTAGCTCATTTTGTACTCAATTTAACAACATCTGTAATGGGAAGTTCCCACTCCTCGAAATAGGCCAAGGAACATCAGGTTCAACCGGAGATAGATCAGCAGAGACTGAAAATGATACAGTGCAGGGCACTAAGGGAAAAAAACCACACACACACACACACACATTACACACACAAAATAAGGCACCAAACATAGCATTTTCTTAGAATTAAAAATCATAACAAATTATGTATTTAAAGCTCACAATGATTTTTATAATCAGCTGCCTTATATACCTGATACTTTTTCCTGTATGTTTTATCTGCATGGATTTTTTTTAAGATATTAAGATGATTTTGTCCATTATGTTCTAGAGTGTTAACAGATATTTTGGTCTTTGTACTGGCAAAGTTGATCAGTTTTTTTTTTTTCATGGTTGATAGTTTAGAAGAGCTTCTAGCATATAACTTACTATTGGGGAAGTCACATGAATGTTTAGTATTTTTGTCAGATTTGGAAAATACATGAAATTCTCCTACATCATGTAAGGATGTAGGAGTATGTTCCAATTTAGACATCATCGATCCCCTCTCCATATGCTTCTGTGCTTTCTAACTGAAAGAACACAAGTTTGTTTCTTTAAACCCAGGGAAAGGGTACTGATCCACATTACTTCTATTCGTTTTTATGCCTTCTAGTCTGCAGATAGGTTGTAGCACAGTGGTTAATCAATGCAGGAGGCTAAGGATTGCTGACATGGCGTTTCCAGCATGTGGGAAATCCTGGGCCCCGGTTCTAGTAGAACCTGGAATTGGACTTTCGACTCACCCACGAGGCCTGGGAGAACAGGGCAGAGGATCTGAGGAGTCAGGGCTGTGTTGTGACACGTGGCAGAACACGAAGAAAACTGGCTGGAGCTTTTTCCTGCAAGGAAACAACAAAAGCCCCAGGCTGAGTTTCTGGACCAACATTCCCATTCCCATTCCAGAATCAGTAACCATGGTCAGGAGTGCAGCTGGGTGGTGGGGCCAAGGGTGGGCGGGGTCAGGGTGCCAGAACCACGAAGATTCCTTGTGGGCCAGGGTGAGGCTGAGCCACAGGAAACCCAATGGCCCTTACCATTCCCGGCCTGAGTGGGTGGATTGGATGGTGCACAGCTCCTCAAAAATCCCCAAGTGACGGGCACCATTACCCGGGTGGGGTGCGTCTTGGAATTCGATGCAGATGTAGTAAAACTTCAAGCTGATAAACCTTTCCCATGTCTGGATAAGCAGCACGCGGGGCTGGGGCGGGCACCAGGGCCTTACAGCTTTTTACTTTTTGTCCTCAGCAGGCAGGAGTGAGTCAGCGGAGAGGCTCAGACACAGAAAGCCTCAAGTATTCATGCAGAGATTTTGGATGTCCTCTTTGAGCCAAGTGTCCCAGGTGGCTTCGGTGATCTACTTTCCATCTTGACCACACCTCAGGTAGTGACAGGGGCACCCTGTCTGTCTTGTCCTCCAAGTTGAGGTAACCAAAGAAAGACCCGGGCCTTTCTCTGCTTCCTGGGCGGGTGTGTGTGTACACTCCTGCTGGACCTCAGAGGGGCTCTGTATCCTGCAGGGATTCCCCCTTTCTGCCTTGCCTCCTAGGAGACCCTCATCCCAGCTTCTCCGGTCCCTACCCTAGCCAGGGTCCCCCTTGAGCACTCCTAGGGTCCCCACTGCGCCCCTCCCTCCAGGGTCCCCTCTGCACGTCTTCCCTGGGGTAGCCCCTTGTACCCCTCCCCCGGGGTCCCCACTTCGACCTCCCCTGTGTCTCTCTTGCTCCTTTCCCCGAGGTCCCACTGTGCTCCTTCCCTGGGGTGTGCCCCTCCCTCCGGCGGGCCCCCTTTTCATCTCTTCCCCGGGGTCCCGCGCCCCTTTTCTTTGCGCAGCACCACACGTCCGTCCGGCACGCCCTGCGGAGCGGGGTCCCACAGAGAGGGGAGCGCGAGCCGGGGTTCGCGGGGCGGAGGGGGTGGGAGGAGCGGTGAGGGCCCGGGGCTGCAGGGCGAGGGCGCCCGGGAGGCAAAGCCGGGCCGGGCCGTGCGGGCGCGGGCGCGGGCGGGGCCGCGCGTGGCGTCCTCGGGCGCGTGCCCCGGCCCCGCGCGTCCCCGAGCTGCCGGCGGCGCGGGCGCGGGCGCGGGCGCGGGCGGAGGGCGGTACGGTCCCTGAGCGCGGGTGCGGGTGCGGTGCCCCGCCGGGTGAGCGCGGCCGGCGCAGGGCGGGCGGTGCGCGTCTCCGGCCGGGACCGGCTCAGCGCGCCCGCGGGCGAGGCCGAGAGCCCCGCAGCCCCGCAGCCCCGCAGCCCCGCAGCCGCGTCCTCGCCCACCGGCCCGGCCCGAGCGCCGCGATGCCTCGCTGCACCGCCGTCCTCCCGGGAGTCGGCGCCCGCGCCCGGGCTCGGTGACCGGGGCCAGCGCGTGGCCCGCCGCGGGGACGGAGACCGCGCCCGGCTCGGGACTCCCGCCCGCGGCGCCCAGCCGGACGAGTCGGCCGCCTGCCCCGAGCCATGCGGACGCGGCCGCCCGCCGCCGCGCGACCTCTGCCGAAGCGTAAGAGCCTTTGCCTCCCCGGCCTCCCTGGGGCGCGTGGGTCTGCAGGGAGGCGGCGCTGGCCGGGCCTGGGGCAGACCTGGTGCAGCGCGGTGCCTGCCTTGCGCGTGCATGGGGTTCTCCTTTGCCGGTCCCCTTCCCCAGGGCTCATTCCTCTGTTGCCTGGAGCGAGCTCCCGGGCTGCGTGTCCCTCTGCTCTCCGCAGAGGACTCTGTCCTAGGAGGTTATGTTTACAATGACACCCGCGAACAAAGCAAGCCCGGTTCCTAAGTTTGTCCGCGGAGTTCCTAAGCAGGAGGCCTCATCTGGGTGGTGATGTTATTCGCGGTGTGAGAATCTGGGGCTGGCGAATCGGTGTGGTCATCGGAAGGTTCCTGCGGAGATTGTTTATATAGTGTGGGGACAGATGGCATCCTCAGCGGCCGGCCGCCGCGAGAAGCCAGGCATAAAGGGTCATTGTATTCTTCAGAAATACCTACTTGACTGCTGGGAGCAGGGCTGGGGTGGGGTGCCAGGTGGGAAAGACATCATAGGATCTCGCCCAGGAGACCTGATAACCGTGCCATCTAGCAGCCTCATCAGTGATTTGTTTTTGCTTTCTTTGACCGTTGGAAAAGTCATCACGGAACTGTACGTTTGCATGACTACATTGGCACATTTTGGTCTCAGCAGTGGTTTGAACAGTTATGGTAATAGAAATGCCTTTTAATTTAAAACTAGCTTTAAATAGTTGTACCTTTCTGAGCTCTCATCCATGAATGGACCTTGGGGGCCCAGTGGCTCCAGGATGGAGGGACTCTGGTCTCCTCCGTGTTAGTTTGGATTTACCCTCCTTTGCAGTCTGCATGTCAGGTTGCTGGCTAACACCCAGCGTGTTTCACAGCTCTCTGCCTGGGCAGCAATCTCCTCCGGTGATGGCTTGCCTGCCTTGGACCGTGCCTTCACCCTGTCTCCATCACAGGTAGGGGACCTCTCGGCAGTGCGTCTTGGAAAAGCTGTGATGTCAGAGAGGAAATCAAAGTCATTCTGAACATGTGAGATGAGCAGGCTGGAGGTTTCTGCTCTACCAGTTCTGTTAGATTATCTCTCTGCTGTCAGTTGCATCTAGATGACAAAATTGGTTTTCTTTCTCTCTTTATGAATATGAGGGAAATGGTCTCCTGAGTTAATATTCACCAACTGCAGTACTAAATATAACGAACACACACAGTGTTCAGCCCTTCTGAAGAGGAGGCATGAAATGAAAGCCGTAGCATCCTTTAATTTGGGAGAAAAACATACTTTCTTATTCTTTCCAAAGCTTCTGGACCACCAGTCTCAGAAAAAGGCAAAGGAACCAAGGCTGTGAGCTGTTGTGGAGACTTGTGCTCTGGCCTTCTCGTCTCCGTGAATGTGTTTTGCGGGAGAAGTGACTGTTGGGCTTTGCCAGGTTTTGATGATCTGCCCTGTCATCTGCAAGAAGATTGATACCTTAACTATGTGTTGACACTGGCTGGTGTCTGTGTACCTTTTACCAAGTCTGAGTCTCCTTCCTGGTGTTTCTTTAATAGAAAGGAGAGGCCTCTGGGCTGGGCTGGCTGTGGGTCTGGTCTGCATGTCTGTCCCAGTGCCTTGCTGTTTGCTTTCTTGGGAACATGCAAGTAGTTTTGCCAGGTGTTTTGGGTCAGGGACCAGTGAGCTGCATGAGAGCTGTTGTTGGAAGCCAGGCCTGGTCTGAAAGAGAGAAGACTGTAGGTGAAGCTCGATTGTTCTGGCAGGACAGGGCTTGTTCCTTCACACTTGGGAGGCTCGTGTATCAGGATGTGAGTGAGGAACCGTAGGTGACCAGACCTTCTGGTTTGCTTGTGAGAGCACCAGTTTATTACTGTTGACCTCTCTTAAAGATCAAAGCATCCGGCTTTTCAATGTGCCCTGGTTTGGGCGGTAAATTACAGATCATGCTAAAAGTGAAGGAACCCTGAGTATCTTCTTCATCATCCTTGGAGTTTGGAGCCTTATTTCATTTTGGTCTTTCATTTTTCAGTGGTAAGCATAGAAAAAAATCAGAAAAATTTAAGCTTGCAAAGTGCAAAAGGACACAATAAATAGTGGGGAAGATGAGGAGGAGGTGATTGCCTGGCCTCTACTTACACATATAATAAATAAAATTATTTTATTCTTGAGTCATTAAGTGTCTGCCCTGCCCACTCTATGATTGTCTTCCAGCGCATTAAGAATTAGCTCTTGTTCTGTTAGTTAGGGCTGAGTCCTGTGATTTGGGCGAGCAGTTTCTGCAGAGCCTTTCTGCAAAGCACATGATGCGGATGTGGATGTAGTGTGCGGTGCAGTTCTTGGGTATTTACGAGAGCCCAGTGACTGTTGCTGGGAGGACTTGACTCCACATTCTTCTAGTTTCTGAGCCCTCTGGGCCTCGAGGACAATAGGGGGACTGTTGTTTGCTGTGCTTTCTCCTGTCTCCAGTTGTGTTTGGGTCTCAGCTTTTCACACAGAATGCTTGTGAAGAAGGAGAACTTCTGTGTCTGCTCACCCCATGAACATTCTCGCAGGGTCTGGGGTGATGCAGGGAACTTGGTTCAGGTTTGGTCTGTGTCCCGAAGCTGGACTCCGGGAGCTTGTAGCTCTGCTGCAGCCAGAGTCGCTGTGGGGAATCGCCGCGTGTAATAGTTCCCTTGCAGGGCTGGCGGGTAGGTGTTACGATTAATTGTGGCTGTCACTTTTCCGGCAGTCACTCCACTGAAGTCCTAAAAGCTTGGTCAGCATGCCCGAAGAAGAAGAAGAAATTGTGTACCTCCTTTATAAATAGGGTGACAGTGGACGTTTTCTCTTTCACCAGGCAAGGACATTTTTGGGAGTGAAATGGGGTGCTAACTGCAAGGGGCACCAGGCTGCAAGTATAAAATGCCACTGTCTCAGAACACTAGGCTGCCCGGTCAGTCCAGGCCATCAGCTTTGATGTAAAGAGTACTCAATGACAAAGGTCCTTAGTTTCTCTGCACTTGTCCGGCTTGTGTGTTTCTGTGTGCGTGCCTGTATATGCATGCAAGCACTGATTGCATTTGTATAGAACGACTGTTCACGTGGTTGAAATAAACCACTACAGAAAGGGTAGTGATTAGCAAATTGTATCTTTTATCATCTCTTATCCTGTATTGACTAGGCTGTGTGCCTCCAGCCCCTCCACACTTTAAATGCTCTCCTGATCTTGTCTAGTTTTAACACCATTTGGTTGATAAAATTGTTTTGTTTGAGGACTTTTTAATGACTTATGATTTTGTTTAATTCTCAGAGTAAGATTGTTAGGCACTTCGTGGTTAGCAGGGAAAGCAATGAAAAGTACTTTATTCATTCATTCAATGGGTGTTTACTGTGCTACTGTGAGTTTGTGTCCAACCTGTGCTAGGGAAATAGTGATGAATAAGGCAAAGATCCTGGCTTGTGGAGGTTTCATTCTGCTGGGGACAGAAGACAATAATAAACCAAATGAATAAGTAAATTATGCAACATGCTAGAGGGAGATAGGGGCTTTGAAAGGGAAAGCAGAACAAGGTAAGTGTGGTTGAATAGGTTTTACGGGAAAGAGATGATAACCAGAGACTTAAAATGAAGGGAGAAGCATTGTTTGTGCAGATGCCTGAGGCAGAGTTGGGAGCATCGGGAACAGCAGTGTGAAGGCCCTGAGCTGGGAGCATGACTGGGTGTGTGCAGAGATTCACAGCAAGACCTGTGTGATGGGCTGAGGGGACGGGTGGGCAGAGCCCGACCTTGGATCAGAAAGATGATGTGGGGGGGTGGGGGAGGTGGGGGGGGCGGGGAGCTTGTAGGACCTTGTGACAGGAAAATAATTATCTCAGTGGACACCCTACTATGATCTTAAAATTCTTTAGAGTTCAAGATTGTACAGAGCTACAGAGGCCTCTTTGGTGGAATATATAGCTTACGTTTTGTTATGACCCGGTTTATGTTGGTTAGCTATCGCGAACTTGTTTTTTGCTAAAGTATTTTTGCTGTTACTGTTCTCAGATTGTATCCCTGTTTCACAAAAATAGATCCATGATTCAAAAGTGGTTTGTTGAAGTGTGCGATAAAGATACAGATTGATCTGTAATCCAAAAATTGGATATCTGAAATGCTTTAAAATATGAAGGTTTTTGAGTCTTGCCATGATACTACAGGTAGAGAATTCCACACCCCTAAGCTTTGTTTCCTACACAGAATAATTAAAAAATTGAATGAAAGGTCTTCCGGCCACAAAGGTAAGGTAGCCATGAGTTTTGTGTTTAAACTTAGGACCCATTTCTAAGCTGTGTAGATAGCCCATCGTGTGTGCCGATGTTCTCAAATCTGAGAAAATCCGGGATGCAAAACATGACCACAAGCTTTTCAGACAAGGGATGCTCAGCTTAGGCATGTCACTGCCACACAGCTTTCGGAGTGCCACGGGCACACGTAGGGAACGGAAGCCCGCTGTAAGTTCACAGCGCGAGTCTGTGTGTACACAGAGGGCCACTGCGGCAGGCAGTGATGGTTCTGAAGGGGTAGCTGAGAAGGAGGTGTGCGGGTGGAAATAAGACAGTGCGTTTCCCAGCATCGTTTCCCCTATCATCACTGTCCCTTGTCCATATCTGTGTTAGGAGGGAACCCTCAATCCTGGCCTGTTACAAAACCTTGTCCAGTTGTGGCATGAAGCCCTGCATGTTTTCATTTTCAAACAAAGCACAGTGGCCTCTCTGTTGTACTCCTGAAGTTGTCTAGGACCAGCACATGATCATACTTCCCTTCACAAAATGAATGCATTCTGTTCCCTAGGTGGGTAAGAGACTGTAACTGCAAGCCTCATTAAAGGACCCGAGTAGCAAAAATAAGTGTGAGTCATCTTCCTGAGGAGACGCTTGGAAACTCAGCCGAAAGTTAGAGACAGACATCACCCTTCAGGAGGAACCAGAGGTTGCTGACAAATCCCTTTGTCCAGAGATGGCATTGGCTGTTGCATGCTATCCATGGAGCACAGGGCGGGAGGCCGATTGCTAGCACATTCATGCTGGCAGCTGGGTCACTTTACGGTGGGATGGAACTGCCGGTGTCACGCAGAGGGTGAATCGGCTTTTGGCGTGGGTTTGCGGAGTGCTTGTGAACGCTTTGTTCATTTATCATGGACGGGGGGGGGGGGAGACTTTATCTGTGGGACTGGAGAAGCCTCTCAGAGCACAGGAGGGCCTGAGCGCCGGGTATGGGACGGCCAAGAAGGCGTGCCCAGGGGAGGGCAGTCAGGAGTCTGCAGAGCAGAGGTGGGCCATCTAAGCTTGAGGAAATGTGGAAGAACCAGTGAGTCTGTGGATACAGCGGAGTGTGCTGTGCCCAGGGAGGGCAGTGAGGTGACACTGCTGGTCTGTGCTGAAGGACGCTGGCTGGACAGGGGACACCGGTTCATGTATTTTACCTTCAGAGGGAGGTTTCCTGGGACAAGAGGAGAGGTTTTTATGACACTGCTTAGAAATAATTTCTGTGGCATCAAGTGGCATACCTCGGTAAGAAACCTTGCCCACAGCAAACGCAGCAAGGCCGGGGAAGGCAGGGAGAACTGCTAACTCCTAAACCGTATGCCACAGTCTTTGGCCGTGAGACTTTCCCATTGGAGTGTTGGAAGTCCGCGCTGAAGGTGAAGGGCGGAGGAAGTCATATTTCCGTAACAGGGAAGTCCTTCAAGTAATACGGATGCTGTCTCTGAGGGACCCTGTGGAAGGACAGAGCTCACAGGGACATCTCTGAGCTCTGGTAAGTTTTGGTGGTGAAAGAGTAAAATGTATCCTTGGTATTTGAGAGTGTTTGAAAAACCACGCTGGGGAAGTTGGGCCTTTAAGGTTTTGCAGTAAGGTAGGAGGTTGCAGTGGGTTCAGACAGACAGGAGTGGAGAAGGCTGGCGGCTCAACAGGACCTTTCTCAGACCTCGCTCATGTCAGATAA